GAACTAAGTAAGTACCTTACGCATCATTATTATCTAATTGGTTGAAGCTTTGCAGTGTAGCGGATTGCTACCTTAGTAAAGCCTGACCGACTCAGAAATCTCTATGGGAGATTCTCCAACATCTAGCTAGACTCCCAGAACCAGCTAAGCTATAGCCCAGCTATGAAAGGGAACAGACGTGTAGCACGGAGCACGCTCATTCAGTACGAGTATTGCGGATAAAGTGTGCACACAGGAAGCTTAATCATGATCAGGATGGGGGATTAGGTTAAACAAACAGAGGTTAATGATTGGTCACTGTTTGTACGGTCGCACATCCCAATCCTGGCGTGCGGGCATGCGATGACGTGTCTCACAGCAGTGACCATTCATCCAGACTGTCAAAAAATTGGCACTTAGTGGGCTCATTTTTGAGTGACCTCTCTGTGTGACCAGTCCCTCCTTCAGTGATGTTGAAATTTCTTTTTTTATAGGAAAGACACTTTAGATCACTTTAGGAGTACTTATCATTGGAAAACGTGGCGCCCCCCTGTCGTGGGGACTTGGAGCAACCTGACTTCAACCCTAAATACTCTTTCGTTTCTCTTTTCAGCCCAATCGTGAGAAGATGCTTTCGAATGCGTAGCATCAAAACTTTATTCTCCCCTTCACTCTCTCTCTCTCTCTGTGTCTCTGTGTGTGTCTCATGTTCTTTCCTTTTTTTTTGTTGCTTGAAATAACTTGCGATAAATCGCGTGAATTCATTGTGCATGTGCGTATGTAACACCTCTCTCTCTCTCTCTCTGTATAATTTGGTGAAATGATTTTTTGTAAGTTGAGATAAGTTTAACTAAAAAGTCCTTTTTTTCTCTGTGCATTATTGTGGACTACATTTTTCTTCCTCTGTCCATTTTTTAGTCACCTTTATAAAGACTATTTCCAGGCAACCAGTGTGCACGATAACCACTGGTGTACCTACTGGCCTATAGGATGAGCGGCCTAAGTGCAGATTAAGAATGAGGGTAGGAAATGTAGGAGGGTAGAGATCAGGAAGCACTACGAAGTAGAGGGGTAATAGGAAACGACCATCATTCTGACATAACAGTAAGGACTTCACCTTGAGTACATCTCATATTCCCACGTCTCAGTGACCACCGTTCTCATCTGCTAGTTCGCATGATGCCACGTACTTCTCTATCTTAGATTGTCAAGGCTATTACTGACTTATTCCACTTCTATTGTAATGGCAGTTTTCATTTCAATGCTTGTCGCTGTGTATCATGCATGAGCAATTCAACATGGTGAATGTGATTCAGTCACGAGTCGTCTTATATGGATGAGAATGAGTTGATGATATGGTCACTATGATTCAGCTAACTTAGTAACGCATATAACGGCAACTAACTATGACTCAAACAGCGCCCCAGTAAGCGTTAAATAGGGAACTAGTAATGCCTAGATAAAGTAGTAGAGAATGAGCATTCGGAAACAAATTTCCGCCCCAGTATTCAAATTTACATAGCTGTTTTATCCACGCAAAATTTCTAGTGCTTTAAAAATGGAATGAGGGGTTTATTTATGCCCCTTATTAAATCTATTCCTCATTTTGCATAAGGATAGTACTGACCTAATATTTTAGTATTACTTCTCGTATCAGACGGCCAAAGAAGACACACTCGGCGATTTTGGCAAGTAAGTCATACTCTAATCGACCCTCCTGTAAGAGAACATCCACTACTGAGACTCCGGATACCATAGTGATTAATATCGATTTGTGCTCATCTTGGATGGGATTTGGGAACCTTACCTTATATATTCAAGTTATCACTCATGCTATTGTCATTTCAGGGGCAACCGAATATCTTTTTAAACCTTCCCAAATACATGTTCAATGATAGATAAGACCTCTCTGTCCAGACAACTAATATGGCCATTCTAATCGAATTACCTAATGTGTCGAAATTGATAAAAATCGACTATCCTCCTTCTGGGACAATTTTTGCTATAGCATTATAGACAAAGGGATTTCCGAGAGGATTTTTAGCGCGGATTTAACTGAAGCCCCCGGGTACGTTGAATTGTTCATTGAATACTCCTTCTAGTCCCTAGAATTCATCTCAAACTTTACTGATCTTAAAAATTAATTTTACCCTGGGAAGTAATTCGAACAGTTTTATTTGAATCGCACGCAATTTTTGTCTAAGTTTACTTCCATTTTTTTAAAGGGATTTGTCTTACTCTGAATTGCGTCAATCAGTTGCTCTTTCATTATCGGAAGGCAAGACGATTCTTCGAGCAGTCAACTCACATGTCAGTACTCATGATGCCAATGCCAATCACTGCATATACAGTGATTTTAGTCACCAACCGCCTTGATCAATTCTGGTCACCACGGCTGGTAGTGTAGTGTGTTTCCCGCATGAGCGAATCAAGGTGCCTTCCTTTTACCTAAGTCCAGTGTTGTAAGCACTCCTGATAAGATTGGGAGGGTTTTTTTCTAAATTCAATCTATTGGTTAATTCTGGAGTCCACAAGAAGAGTGTTAGAATACGAGTCCTCCCTACAGCAAAGTGAGCTTTGTTGCCACTTTCTCTGGTGAGCTTGATAAGCTTAAACATTATTCAGACGAACAAATGCTCTTCAGATTCTACTTGAACTCACCGTTCCCTCTTTCATTACGAGTAATACTACTGATTACTTGTATAAGTAGGGTTCCCATGTAAATACAAATAACACTGTAGGTCTCTCGTTTTAGCAGTTTGTAGCCACTCTTTTATTGGTATTAATAATTTAGCATCAGCAGATTCAAAGTCACATACGTAATAGTAGTAATACCAAGTAGTGGGATAATGATTGGGTCTCTACGTTATTGGGTAGGAAAGGAACAATAGGCGGGAAGGGGTAGGGGTTATCAATAGCTGTTGATGTCTCTTTGTTTCCTTTCGGGCGTGCGCGTTCAATCAGATTTGTGAGATCAGAGTCACGTAAGGGACGCGCGTATCCTTTGAATATCGGTAGACATATAGGTGTACACCAATAATCTCTCTTAAATTACATACCATAACCAAAATAGAGAAGGTAAATCAAGGGAAAATGAAAATAATGAAAGAAGAAATCATGAAATCATTGTGGCAAGATGAAGAAATGCAGAAAATACACACAAGAGAGAAAGACCTGAGAACATGTTGGCGCAGAAAATAATTGACAACAAATAAATATGGCAGATATCTCGACGAAAACAGACAAACAAAATAACATTCACATTTGGTATGAGAGAGGAATGATGATGGTTAGATGAAATCGGAGATTAGACACTAGTGATGACAATGATGATATGAGTAGTCAAATACATATGTGTATACATAAGGTCAAAGAAATCTGGAGGGAGATGTTTAAATCGGACAAGAGTAAGGCACTCAATTTGGAGTTTGAAATGGTAATAGGTTTTTTTCTGTTCTTTGTGGGTTCTATACGAAAGAGACCGAGAGGGAGAGTGAGAGACAGCACAGACAGGTCTATAAGAGAGGAGCGGAGAGATTATGCCATAGTCATTGGGCCATATTGGGCCCACTTTTCCAGCCTACTGATTCTGACATTCCACCTATAGGAGAAAAAAGACGCGCCAATTGAAACCGGACCATTTTAATCGAGGCCTACGAACACACAACAAAATCTCATGAACACCATAAAACTATTTCTAAAGAACTTCCCCATCGTGAGCTAAAATGCAAAATATGCAATTTTTCAAATAATATTGTTGGCTTTAAGATGGCTCATTACGCTATCAGTGGCCGTATGATATCATATGCGTCAGTGTCACAAGTATCTTTAGTATTGGAAAAAACAGAAATGACTCACTTGCATGGGATTCTCGTGGCCACCACAATCCACTTGGCCCGAAGGGGTCATCTGTTGCATGAGGGAGAGATCAAATTTTGCTACGCTGTTTGTTGTACTGCCATTGTTTTGGTTATTGTTATTGGTGTTGGTCGAATCGAAAAATCCGTCTGTTGTATCGTCGGGAACGTGACTACCACCATAGCACATCTCATCATTCTCTTCTTGCTTGCAGATGGGACCTAAGAGAGCAACAAGAAGGCCACTGAGGGTAATGCAGCTAACATTATTAACTCTGGTATCAACCGTCAATTTACTCGGTTCTTGGAAGAACTAGATGTGACTTTAACTTAAGCCTATCGGTGCATCGATGTGTGGGACAAAGTAACTGCGTCAAAATATTGTATTTCCACAAACTTGACCTCAACAAGATAGAAAGTAGTTAGTGTCAGTCTCAAGGCCACTTGACAAGAAATGGGTGGGTTGAGTTGTCAGACCATTTTGAAAATCATTAAAAAGATTAATGTTTTAGTAATAAGCAGAAAGCTTTACAGTTGTTAAGATACAAAGCAACTGCAGTCAATTAGCTTTGGATATATTGCAGATAGAAGTCCAAGCCTCAGATAAGAATAACTGTATTTGGTATCCTTGGTGATGATACAACGCTATTACATCTCTTGAGTAAAAAATAGGTAGTTTAATGGACTCGGAATTCAGAAGTTAGGCTTTTGATATCATAATTTTTAACCCATATTTCTTCCCTTAGTTTGAGCTAACTTTGCTGTTCCTATTTTAAATTAGTATAAATTGTAATTTTATGCCTCAGCGTGTACAAAAATAATAGCTACCAACTACCCACCACATTAAGACCTTACACAAAGAGTTAGAAAAACTGTTGTATGACTTGAAGCGCCGCTAGTCATTACCTAGTTTCCATTTTATTATGACCAGTTCCCTATAATAAATCAGGTCAGCGGCAACAGTTATTTTTAAACCCCGGAATTCTATCATGCCTTCGCATAGACACTACTTCTGTCGAGTTTTTCAGCTTCCCTTTAAGGAGTTTCCAATGCATACTATCTAAACGTCACTATCTTAGGCATTTAAACCCGGAGAAAGGTTGGATCAAATTGAATAGGAATTTAGTATTACCATAGGTAAGATGTCACTGAGAAAAAAGGAAACACTAAAAAATTGTTCCGATAGTAGTCTTTGTAAACAGATAAAAAGTATACACGCAACACACCCCCAACGAAAACAGCATTGGGATGGTATGAGCTGAGAGACGAATTGTTAGTAGTGGTCGAAGCGGTGGTAGGCGGCCGACCGGCAGAGAACGCCATTTGCATATTCTCTAATGGACTTGCCATCTCAGATTCCATTTTGCCCTGTGGAGTACTCTCACCATTTGTGGGTCGGGCTGCGTTGGCACGAGCCAACACCTCCCAGTTCTCTAACAGGCTCTGATAGTTTGCTAAACCATCATCAAGGACACCTGTTATGGATCCCAGAGGTTTTCCTGATGATATTTCGGCCTCTTTCAATGCATTTTCCAAATTCTAGAGTGAGAAAAAGAAAGTTTAGATCATATCGGATTCAAGCTTCGGCATTCCACACATTACACGCTATAGAAACCCTAACCCTAATAAAACAATAAAAGATGTATAAGCGGTTAATTACCCACGTTTAACGAAATGAGCCCGATTTGACGCCTCATTCCTTTGCCACTACTTTACCACGTTTCCCTTCTTTGGCATTATACGTACTTAAACGAAAAGTCCTGCATACTCCCACTTGTATACTCTACTGTGTTATTCAACACACAGTATTATTATTGTTGTTAAAATTTAGAGCAATATTAGTATAAGTAATATTGTGAGTGACAACAAAACTAAAAGCTGAAGTTTCAATATTGCTGAAGGTGTTGTGTGTAGGTAATGATGATGTGATAAGGCGCCCTTTAAATCGGTGCAGTTTTCCCGATACATTTTTGTTTGCCTCCACCATTAGACACAAGTGAAGTGATTACGAAAATTCAGACAAAACCCACCTTTGTTAATGAAAACCCGATATTCAGTGTAGATTGATGTCAAGTGATCACCCTGAAAGTAAATGGATGATAAAAAATATCCCTTCCCGAGTTCCCCTCTGAAAATGGTATTGTTTAAACCTTAAGGGCAGGGCTGCCTCTCTCTAACCAAGATGATTGCTGGAAAATGACCTTTAAAAGCCACTTATGCAGTATTTTAATATTATTAACGGTTTCTATTTTGATCTTGGAACTGTTCACTTTACCTCCTTTTAGTAGCCCGATAACTACATTTTTAACCAAAAAGGATAAATTAGATTTCTCATTTATCTTTAAATGTTTTTGCTTCTTTTCCACAAATAGCCAATATTTTCCGATGCGTTTTATGAAATAACATGAAGTAAGTTGACCACTACAACACCGATGCATCCAGTTTCAAATCCAAGGACAAAAGAATTAGTGCCTTGGGGGCCTTTCAATGAGAAAACGGCATTCTGTCATCGTCGATAGAACTAAAAAGTAGTGTTATGGCTTTCGTTTAATGGGTACCGATTCAATAGCTACACAAAGTTGAACGTATATGAAGAGGGAGATCTGCTTACCTGAATATAAGATGAGAGCTGAGGGATGAGCGTACGAGCCAGATTAGCCTCCTGTCGTATAGCAGTGGTCTGTACGAGATCGTTTCTTAGATCCATGATATAGGCCACAGACAGTCGTAGAACGGTTCCTTTGTTGCGACGTCCGTCTCTACAAGGAGAGAGAGTGAGAGAGGGAGAGACTATAGGCCAAAAAAAAATAATGTACTCAAATAGAAGAAACCAGGCAAATGCGAAATCACGCCTGAGCGAAAATTGGCAGAACCAAGAAGACGGTGGACATTTCTTAGAAAACAAGGTCGAGCTATTAGTAGGGCTTTGCAAGGTAAGGAGTTCAGGCCAAAGCAAATACATACATGAAAACAGTGGAATCGAAATCGACAAATGCACGTAAATATTCATTAAACACATAAGGACGCGTATCGATAGAGATTACGCTCGCAAAAGAATAGACTTTGTGCATTCGATTTATATTGAGATTTGCCTCGTAACTTAGCTATTCGAAATATCAAACATTATGCATACAAGTAGGAATAATATGTAAATTATGTAATCAGGCTAAAATTAGAGAAGAGAAGGAAGAGTGCGTGGACCACAAAGCCACTTGGAGAGATTGAGTGCAATCGGAAAATAATAGTATTAGCCTTGATTAGCGATTTTGACCTCGGCGTTCACTCTTTGCCCTGATCCTCGTTCAAGATAATCGAATCGGCCAAACAAATTAAGTACAAACGCGAGCATTAAGATAACGATAGTTGCAATAATTATTAGGAGTGTTTGGAAATCGAACCAAATGCCATTAATGCACTCGAAACTCGCAGCCTTCATATCTCAGTTATCGGCTTTCTATGCGCAAACATGAATATCTTGGAAGAACACAGTTGCAACTATTGGATAATAAAACAGAAAAATCTCTTACTGACTATCCTATTCTACACAAGCAACTTTTTTTTATCTCAAAAAAATGAACTACAGCTCTTCTTTCTATTTTTTTCTGTGGGTTTAGGCAACTTCAACAGCTCACAATAAGCTTCAAAATTTTCATTAATTATGGGATTAGATCAGACATCGAATCAACCTTAGTTCATACTCCTAGTAAAGGCGAGATATGGAAAATCTAGAGGTGATTTTACTTGCCAGAAAGGAAAAAATATCCAAAAGATCATGGCAATAGGTTCATAAACGGTAAGAGACAAAAATAAGCCAATAGATAAAGGTAAAAGCTAGAAGCAAACTGGCAGTTTAAGATATGCCCAAGTAGCAATCATGATTTCTGATGGACTTGGAACCGACTCAGGTTTTAATAATCGAAAAGTCATTTTCTAAATCAATATGTGATCAATATTAGAGTTTATTCAGATTGCACCTTCCACATCAAAAAAGGAGGTCAAGTAAATTGAGACAGCATGACCAACCCCTATATTTGATCTCCCTTCCAATAAGCTCTGAGGACCATGGGCACGATCTTACCCAAGGATCGCGGGGGCTAAACGATAAGGGGTGAACACAGAGACATTACAAAGTTAGCTATGCTGCTAGGAAAAGTATAACGAATGAGCACTCCCAGAAGTCTCAGCGTCCCGATTTTAACATCCATTTAATGGCCTCACCTCCCCCTCCCGTTTCATACAATACTGGAATAGTTTGCCAATAAATACACGTGAGTATTTTCTCAATACTAAAACTCATATTGCTTTCGGCACTAACATAGACAGGTATGATCCCTACCCTTAATCCCTTCCCAAGGTGACAAGACTATGAGCCCCTTGACCAACGCTATCACCAGCTAATAAAGAATTTGAGAGTTTTGCAATTGAACGAAGCGAAATTCTTTTCAAATGCATTGTTTTTATTTACATCTTTATTAAAGTTCGAAATCAAGATTTTATATCATTGTTAGTTCAATCTATTAAAACAAAAACTAAGGGGGATCAGTAAGAGGGGAAAAGGTTACTTTTATTTACCGTTTCTCCCAAATGCCTGCAGTTTAAATACGCATAAGCATCCGTTCAACTGTAAGCGAAAGTAGATTTTTCTTCAGAGATCTCGGGTTCTTATTTCATAAGCACCGCTTTGGCATAGCAGTTGACAGTGGCACTCTCCGACATAGCCGACTGGCCAAAAATC